CAATAATATTTTTCCACAATAAAGAGCTCACGGTTCCATCACAATGAGTACAAAAATCTTACGAAAATATTGAGGAATAAATAATTCAGGAGAATAATACTTCAAAATCTTTAATACGTTGCTTCAATATCAAATTTTAAAATGTCAAATACTTCATATTGATAATATTTAATTTAAAGAAAATCAACATTCGAATAATGCAAAGTATGAAAGAAACCACGTTTCAATTGAACAGGTAAAACAATTAGCAGAAAAATGTCAAACAAATTTAAAGTATATATCTCAGATCAATGATGAAGAATATAACAAGATAAAATAATTTAATAAATGCGCAACAGTGATCTACACAATTTAAAAATATAGTCTTTCACATTTATCTCGTGTACACACTCGTCACCTCGTGTACACGACTTTTAACATATTTTAATAATCACATCAATACTAATCCTAGGGAAAATTTTCCCCACACAAGGTTAGACAAGTCACTTACCTCGACTTGCTCCAATTTAACCAAATATTATGCTTTTTCCTCGATTTTCCGACTGCGATCGACTCGTATCTAGTCATAATTAATTCGATACAGTCAACAAAAATTATAGGAATCAATTTCATAAGAAAATACTATATTTTTCAATAAAATCCGAAATAAACTCAAAAATGGCCGTCTCGAAAATCCGGCGAAAGTTACGAAATATAAATGCTCATTCAACCACGAGTCTACCCATACTAATTTGACCAAAATACGACCTCAACTTGGCCTCCCAATCTAGATTTCTCATTTTGAAATCCCTAGGCCCAAATCCTCTAATTTCACCTCAAAAACATGTAATTTATTCAAAATATTCAATGATAATCAAATATAATTGACTAACAATGATCACATGTGACTTACCTCAAGTTTTCCCGTGAATTCCCTCTAAAACATCGCCCAAAACCGTGTTGAAAATGTCCAAATGACAATAATGTCGAAACCCCTCTATTTTTGTAATTTGGTCAGTGCTTTCGCACCTGCGGACCAATTGTCGCTTCTGCGGAGTCGCATTTGTGACCACATTTCCGCTTCTGCGAAGAGGCAATCAACAGCCCCCTCACACCTGCGGAACATGGTCCGCTTCTGCGCAACCGCAGGTGCGATCATGTCTTTCGCTTCTGCGATGGGTTCAATCGCAGAAGCGGCTTCACTTTTGCGGATCTCTTTCCGCTTATGCGGCTCCAACTGGGCAGCCCTTCGTCCTCTTCTGCGAGCCACAGCTCGCTTGTGCGAGTTCGCACCTGCAGTCAGTCCCTCCGCATGTGCGATGACACCAGAAGCTGCAAATTTCAGAATTTGCCTAAGTCCAAAAATTGATCCGATTTCGATCCGGATAGCACTCGGGGTACTTGGGACCCCGTCCAAAAATACCAACAAGTCCTAAAATATCATACGAACTTAGTCGAAACTTTAAATCACATCCAACAACACTAAAAACATGAATCACGCATAGATTCAAGCCTAATGAACTTTGAAACTTTCAATTTCTACAAACGACGCTGGAACCTATCAAATCAAGTCTGATTGATCTTAAATTTTGCACACAAGTCATAAATGACATAACGGAGCTATGAAAATTTTTGGAACTAGATTCCGACCCTGATATCAAAAAGTCAACTCCCCGGTCAAACTTTCAAACTTTAAATTCCTATTTTAGCCATTTCAAGCTTAATTTTACTATGGACTTCCAAATAATATTTTGATCACGCTCTTAAGTTCAAAATCACCATACGGAGCTGTTGGAATCATCAAAATTTTATTTCGGGGTCGTTTGCACAAAATTCGACATCTGATCACTATTTGAACTTAAACTTTTAATTTTTCATCAAAATTTTATATCTCGGACTAGGGACCTCAGAATTTGATTCCGGGCATACGCCCAAGTCCCAAATGATGATACACACCTACCGAAACTGTCAAAATACTGATTCGAGTCCGTTTGCTCAAAATATTGACCAAAGTCAACTCAGCTTAGTTTTAAAGCTCTAATTCACATTTTAATCCATTTTTCATATAAAAACTTTCCGAAAAATTTTACGGACTGCACAAGTAAGTCAAGGAATGATAAATAGTGCTTTTCGAGGTTTTAGAATATATAATTAATTATTAACTTTAAAGATGACATTTTGGGTCATCACAGAAATGTCGTTTGCCTTTTTTACCCTTTAAAACTAGAGTTCAGATTACACAAAATAGACTTTTAATTATTATCCTAATATTTATGAATATTTATTTAATTATCTCCCTAATATTTAGGAATAGACATTTAATTGTTTCCCTTATATTTAGGAATAATTATTTAATTATTTTTCTAATATTTAGGGTTTCGAAATTAATTAAAATTTTAAATATTAAATCACTCCTTATTCGAACTATATACAAACTTCTATATCGAAGAATTGAAAATAAAGAAAGATTTTAGCTATATAAATTCTTTCCTTATAAAATTTATTATTTCTAACGCCAAAGATTTAAGCAATAACTCTAAGCTAAATATTAAAAATGATTTGACTTAAATATTATCTTAACAAATATTAGGAAGTTTGACCCTAGATGTCGTATCAATTTAAAATCTAAGAACTAAAATAAATTCAATTTAAGGAATTTACTTAATGACAAGTAAAAGAAGGGTGGACAATACTTTTAATTAATTAAATTTTATGCATTAAATCCTTCGCTATTTGAATTGTATATAAATTTTTAATATTACATATATCATACGAATTCTTTTATTATTTAAATTATGTAAATTTTTATTTTATAACTCAAATATAATTTTAATATAATATTTATATAATTATTTTAAATATATTTACTCATTGAGATAAGGTACACGCGCTTTGCAGGTACCTAAGACTAGTACTTAATAAAAAAAAGGCCGTATATGAACAACAAATTAGAAGTTACAATGCTTATAAAATTCCATATGACTCCCGATATTAATTGTCTCTCCTTTCTCTCTCACTAGATTTTGCTGTATTTTCTACAACATATTACATGCAGTAGTTTATTTGGGTAAATTATTTTAGGAATAACCCCTTATTAACGCGATTAAGTGGTTTGATTTAGCTATAAAGATTATTTTGTATTCTCAGAAGTAATTAAAAGGCAAAAAATGTATTCTTTCCTAGCAATTCATCACTTTCACCTATGTTATCTTGTTAATTTACTTTGAAGATCGCCTGCCCACAATTCATAGCTTATCCTTCTCAGTTATGATTATTAATTTCCATTTCCATGCAACTCTTCAGGGTTTATACTTCAAAGTTTTTTTTAAAATGAGAATGAAGAATCCAAAACAGAAAAGGAGCTAATAGATCAACACACTTGGCAAGAGCTATATCTTATTAATGAAAGGATCGTGCATTACACCTATAGTCCATGAGCTTTTCAAGCAACAAGATGGACAAGAAGCATTTACTTTTAACTCACAAAAAACACACAATAAATATGATAGCTATAGACTTGTTTAATTAGTAGCAGTACCATTTTTCAACAAGTTTCACAAAAGAATAACAACTAATACAAAGTACTCTAATTATAAACGGCTTACTTTTAAAAGCAATAATAGAGCACTTCCAAGAGTAAACATTACAATATTGCTTATTTCATGCAAGAAGATTGTAGCTTTGTTGATCAATGAAGACCACCGCCAATGCCTCCTCCACCACCAAAGCCGCCACCGCCGCCACCTCCTATACCGGCACCAGCACCGGCTCCAAAGCCTCCACCTGCTCCAAACCCTCCTCCTGCACCTCCACCACCACCAATGCCACCACCTCCTCCTCCACCAAATCCTCCACCACCACCGGCACCACCACCAATACCACCTCCAGCACCTCCACCTGCACCAAAACCACCNCCAGCTCCTCCGCCAAGACCACCACCACCACCAAGACCTCCACCTCCACCAAGGCCAAGACCTCCACCATGTCTAAACCCTTTACTATAAATCCCATGTCCTAAACCCCCACCAATACGATCCCCAAAACGACGATGCCTAAACAAGAACTTCTCATCTTCATCTCCCTTATTAACTTCAGCCAATACAACAGACTCAACAACAAACACAAGCAAAAGAATAAACACCCCAACACTACGAGCAGATAAACCCATTATGACTCCAACTTAAACCCTCAATAAAAAGAATAATAAAACTCTGGACATGCAAGAATGTTTAGTATATGATCCTATTATATAGTACAAGAAAATCACTTGGTAGGTCCACTTAGAACTCAACTGTCACCTTCTATTGAGTAAATGCTTGTTGCTCTGCAATTGGGCAAAGGATTAAATTTTGGCAACTGCCCCTCTCCCCACACACTTACAAAGTCACAAAGACAGCACTATTTTCATTACTGCTTTAATTTTCGTTCTGGGAGATTTGACTTTTAGGGTGTCTCTCATTTATTATGAATTTATCCAAAATATTTAAGTATATACACTAACAGAAAATTTATATACTCTCAAACTCGGAGGAGTTAAGATTTGAACTTTATGTGTTCAGAATTATAATTTTTTTAGTTATTAGATTCTAAATTAATAATTTATACATATTCATTGAATTTCTTAATACAAATATACGGTTTGAACAAAAGTTATTAGGTTCAGCCAAACCCGCAACTAACACTATCACTCTGCCCTTGCTCTCAGTATAATTTAACCTATTATAACAGTTTTAGCGGTAAGTTGTTGTCATATGACCAGGAGGTCATGGGTTCAAGCCGTGAAAACGGCCTTTTGCAGAAATGCAGGATAAGGCTGCGTTATAGACCCTCGTGGTTCGACCCTTCCTCAGACCCCGCGCATAGCGAAAGCTTAGTGCACCGGGATGCTTTTTTATAACAGTTTTAGCGGTTCTGATTATCTACTTTATTTTCTGAGTTATAAGATTATATTTGATTGTAAGTAACTTAATTTGATAGCATAAAAATATTATACATTGTCTATGCAAAGAAGTTTAATACTTAGTATTGTAAAATGTTATAAAGCTGACTCTTCCCGTAGGTCATTTTAAATTGTTTGACTTCTGAACTACTTCTGAATCAGAGAGTAATATGATATATCCGTCAAGTTGATGCTATCTTATGCGTTGGGCGTTGCATGCTTTTGTATTTAATGGGCTCTTATTTGCTTGGTCTTTGCATGCCATTAATGGAGAAATTAAATTATTTCCAGCCAACAGTTTGTAATTTATCTTTCCCTTTCCAAAGTATGCATGGCAATTATGAAGCATGACTTTTGTTCCTTTCACTCCTCTCTTTTTTTTCCTTTTTTTTATGACTTTATTTTAAAACAAGGGCAGCGCGGTGCACAAGATATCTCACGTTCACTTAGGGTGGTTCGAGAAAGGTCGCATCTCAACGGGTATGATATAAACAGTCTACCTTAATGCAAGCATTAGTGGTTGTTTTCACGACTCAAATCTGTGTTATCTAGGTCATACGGAGATAACTTTACCGTTGCTCTGACTTTATTTTATAAAACAAGTACCAATATTATTCTAGCCAGCTTGTGCATATTTTGACTAATATACGACGAGATTGTGATCTCCTATTAGTACATATAATGAGTGATTCTATCAATCAATATTTAGGCCGACGGAAAGAGTTCATTTTGTGTCATATCTAGTAGTTTTCACACTAATTTGCGCACATCTCAACAAATCCATTTGATGCTTACTATCTCTCATCAACACATGTCTCAAGCAATACTCTATCTACCAAAATTTAAGGAGGATACAACACAGAAAAAATAATAACAAGGGGAAAAAACAGAAAACAAGAAAAGATGAGAGAATAACATTAAATGAATTCTTTTCAGTTTAATGAAAGGAGTAAGTAAAATTTAAGAAACAATAAAGGAGTTGGGCATCAGCTCCTCTTTAGTTAAGTGTACTCATAATTAACTACTGGTGCAGTTTAAATTTATTGAGCTTTTTAAATTTAAAAAAATAAATTATTGAGCTGTGATGTTTTAAGTATAAGAGGACGTTAGCCAAATCTATCTCTGAGGGTGGACGCACAATATAAATTATGTAGGGTTTTAAATGTTTGATTCTTATTATATTAAAATTATGTTTAGTGTAAAGAATTTCTACCATTGCAGTTTTACCTGTTGTAATATATTGTTTATCTTATTTTTAAGTTATCAGTTTCACTCTCCAGAAACCAATTACACGGCCTCAAGCTTTGATATTCTTGTTTATCCCTTTATTATGTGTTATAGGAGTATTAGATTTAGTTCCTTTTGTGCTTATTTAATAAACAAGGTAGGAGTCAACGCCAAACCCCCATCACCACAGGAGGTGAAAACCTGGGTCGATGGCTTAATTTAAATATAAAAAAAGTTATCAATTCACTTATTATATATAAAAAAAATACATGCAGTTATATTTTAAGTGACTTAATAACGTACAAGAAACTAATAGAACTAAAATTAAGTAGAAATTGTGTTGAAAGACATATAATATCTTGAAAATTGAGTGGAAGATATTAATTAGTATTGGAAGTTGGCATAGTATTAAAGTAATTGATGATTGTTTGGACATAAATCACAATCGTATAAGAAGATTAGGAGCGTGAGCGTGTGACAATCAATAATTAGTTAATGTTCATAACAAATAAGGAAACGCGTTGTCCTACCATTTTATGAACTAAGCAAATGAATATAAGAAGAGTTTTACGGATGATATAAAAACTATTTTAAGATTCTTATTATTACCATTTTAAGATTCTTACTATAAAATTACATCCTTTCACTGCGAAGTGTATGCTTATTATGTCGACTCATTGTAATATTTGTAAGTGTCGGCATGTTTTCTTTTTAATATTTCGTTACTTGTTATTTGCTTGATACTTGTTCTCGATTAACTAGTCAAATTACTTGTTTGATTCTTTATGTGTTAATTATTGACGTCACATTAAAATCGTCATCAAAATTAACTATATGTGATTAACAATTGTCACAATGTTATGATTTTAAAGTGGCACACATTTTTTGAGCCGCGTTTGCCAAAAAGAAAGATATAATCATATCGCCATAATACAATGTCATGAGATACTAACATCACTTGTACTTAGCAAAGTCCAGCAAAATGCGAGCAATCTTTTCTTATGCACCATAATGGAGGTTAGTTATTTTATTTTATTGCTGCTATTATTATTATTTTTACTTGTTTCATTATTTTCTATTCGCTATTTGCGTTCAGGGTTTACTTGTTCTTGGAAATTTGCATCTAGAAAGTACTTGCAATTACATATTAATTATTTATTCCATGGTTTAAATTTTTAGGATTACTGTCTAGTTAATAAAAATTCATTTTACATCAGTTTATTTAATTTCTTTCTTTTTTGCTTATTTATTTTCATAATCCCACCAAATTTAATCCGGAAGAGAATTGCTTTATGCGGCTCTGGCTCTCGAAAGTTGCCTAACACTTTCTTTTCTATTTAATTTGAATCATTACCTAAATCTTTATTTCGAAGGTCATTAATGAAATTAGTCTTGCATTTAGCAATAGAAAGGCGCCCTAACACATTTTAACTCTTTAGGTGGCGACTTCTTTCCTTTATCCATCAGGTGTTGTCACAAGTCGAGCTCTGTCCATGTAAAAAATGGGGTGCGACACTTATTAAATAATTACAGAAATTTTTTTGATAAGTCTTAATTTCTAATTAAGGAGCAGAGTAAAGGTGTGTACGGTCAAAATCGATTTTCAGTCATAAAGACTGGTCGAGACGGTGACGTTTCGATTGAAGGGTATCTACATGGCAAGCTCGATCGAATTCCGAGGTAGGGACGTCGAGCTTCGAGCTATAAGACCGGTCAACGGCAAAACTCGGTATCATTATCGAGCCCACATCCAAATCGAACTACGAGACAATTCGTAGTTCATCGAAGATGCCTAGACCGACCAACACTCGCCTCGAATATCGATGCCCCAAGGCAGAATCGAGCTCGAACCAAGACCGGGGGCTCGATCTGATACCGAGCTCGAGCCAGAATCAAGCTCGCGGACAAGAGCCGTTACAACCGCACTAAAGGAGAAAATCTTGGCGAGAACCGAGGAAGAGACAAACCATCATGGGTCCTCCACTATATGCATTATTTTATTATGTTGTTATAAATAAAGCATGACCCTCTACTATAAAAGAGAGGACCTTTGTAAGCTAAAGGCAGAGAGAGGGCAATAAACACATCTTTTTCTCAGATACATTGAGATTTCTTTGTGCTTGTTTTGTCTCAACTTATTCAATTACCATGTTCATCATTCCCATTTCCATAGTAAAAATATTAGTATTGTTACTTTTGTATCAAAGAAATTTGCGTATCCTTAGAACCATATCTAAATTTAACGTTATCCGATTTTTCGGGTAAACAGTTTGGCGCCCACCGTGGGGCTAAGGGTAACAGTGATTGTTTGATATAAATCTACAGTACACTCCAGCTTATAACTTCAAATCAGCAATGGCTCTACCTATCGACCTCGAAGCCGGCCTTCAAAATAAAACCAACAACTTGGCGCCCGGGGCCGGAAGGCTACCTGACGATGGCAACGAGGCTCGAATCGAAGAACCCAAAATTCAAGCCGAAGTACCATTGGATGTCAATTCACAAATAGCTATGGAGGCGAATCAACGTTCCGAACCAGAAAAAAGCATTCAGGGCGGTGCTCGACCCATAACCCGAGACACCCATAGCACGGGGGAAATCGAGGTCAGCTTGCGTATGATTTTCGAAATGCTACAAGCCCAACAAGCAGCGATAGCTCAGTTGCAGAGCCAAACTCATATGCAAAGCAGGCCGAACTCCAATCCACTTCTTCAAGAAGTCACTCCCAGAACGGAGCCCGCCACAGTGAAATCAAACGAGCAAGGATTGGGGACCGCTCCTGAAATTGCTAGATTGCTCAAGGAACTCACAAAACGAGTCAAAGCCAACGACAAGAAAGTGAAAACGTATAATGCTAGGGTCGATCAAATCCTGGGGGCTCCGCCAATGATAAAAGGGCTTGATTCGAAAAAATTCATACAAAAGCCTTTTCCCTCAAGCGCGGCCCCAAAACCAATCCCCAAAAAATTCCGTATGCCCGAAATTCCCAAATATAACGGTAC